TGTGAGGGCATGTGTCAAGCTCGGCTGGAGCTGTGTCTTTCATGATTCTCACTCACTCATTATGTTCGGTGCTCACTCCCACTTGTTCGGTTTCTTGGGATGTTCCTTTCACCACGATCCGGAGTCACTCTTCAAGCCAATCACCAACCCAGTTCCCACGACCGTTTTACCCGGAATGAGGGCTTTTACTGGCAGGAGGACCAGACTCCGAAATTTGTGTCGGCGCCCAATCGTCCCAGGTCCACTTCCGAGCTCTTCATCGCCATCTGCGTACGAGGCTTCATGAAGTGACGTTGAAGATATTCCCAAACATCATGATGCGTTTAGTATGTCGTTGACTGCTGCTGCTGACCCATGGCCGGCAGATCGCATCTGCCAGGCTGAAGGTCCCGGCATCGTGAGCCATTCGTAAGGCTGGTTGCTGCTCAACCCTCAAGGCCTTTAGGCCTTGCCTTGCTGCTCGGAGAATTTCTACCGCTCTTAATGAACTCTCCCTCGAGGGTTGACAGCTGTGCTTGCGTGCGCCAGAAGGTGACTTGTCAGAGCGTTGCCAGTAGGTGGCCACGCTCCTGGTCCGACGATCTCGAGCCTGAGCAGCATCCCTACCACCGCTTTTCAAGGGACGGGAAAGCCTGCAGTGGGTGGTTGAAGCTCAAGCTCCTCATCCTCCTCCTCGTAAAGTAACTTTTGACATCACTTCATCAACGCATTCCACCCCAGCAAATGAGCCCTTTCTCAGCTGTTCTGTTCGAAGCAAATGCACGACAGCGGCACATGATAGAGTGATAGTTACGTCTCCTGCATGAAATTCAATGAAGTCCCAAGCCAATCGCAGAACACCAGAGCTCCAAGTTTTGGCCCGCGACCTTCACATTCAACGGCAAAAGTTTCTCACTGCTGCAGGCCCTGGTCGGCGTGGAGAGATGTGGAAGGTGGGTACGAGGTGTGGAAGGTGTGTGCCATGCTGGTCCGGTGGCTCTGTTCTGCCCATGCCATGCCAGGAGTGGGCGAACGGTTGCGGGTGCGAAAAGGACGCCATCATCCTTGATTCCTTGTCTGCTGGTATCTCGCTGGTCTCATCCACACAAACACCGTTGAACGCCCCCGTCCCTCTCCCCTGTCTGACAGCTGTTGACTCCTGGCTCCGCGCGACAATGCCTGCGCACATGCAAACGCAATATCAACCTCACCCTGTCCACTGATCTCACAATAAACTGGCCATCTCTGCGTACCTGACAGCAAGCTTCATCCCAGTAATTTCTACGCTATAACCTCATTCAATATCACATTACTGTCATCTTCAATCGTCCACTTCAAAGGCACCGTGTCGGATGAACGGTGAGATTGCACGACGAGATACCGTGGGACCTCGGTACCTGAATCGCGGGATTACTCTAGATTTTTCATTACCCGAGTACGAAAATGCGAGGAGATAATTTCCTTTCAGGCCGTCGGAAGTATCTTTGCGAGAGAGAAAATTCTTGAAAATTTTGACATCTCGTCCACGGAGAGTACCGTAAGCTTAATGTTGATCTTAGCACTTTCTCCAGCTTAAACTTAACTCGGTATATGAAGGACACGGCTAGCTGCCTCCGGAGAGTATCCACATTGGGCTTTTCTCCATTTCATGACTCCAGCGATCAAAACTCTGTAAGCGATCGAGTAATAACTCCTGAAATAGAGTAGACGGCCGTTTGACGATGGTTTAGACTTTTCACAACTGGCGTGACTTCATTCCACAGTAGGAAACTGAAGTTATTCTTAGGTTCAAGTGTTTCTCCTCAAACATATCCATCCGGTTCATCACTCAACCATCATTTCCCAAGTCTCCCCGAAAAGAAACTTCAAACAGCCGAATTCCCTATTCCCGCTAGCGCTAGCCAAGATCTTTCTTCTCTGCTGGTATGCTGACTGATCTAAGAAGACGACGGACAGATATGGTCCACTTCCACCGTTTCACAAAAACATCCGCGCTGCCCAAAGCGCAACTCGCACGTCCTTTCACAACAAGCCTCAAAATAAATTCTCCTCCCGAGTTTCAACGACTCTGGTATCACATCCTCCAGATCTCCTCATCTCCAGTTTCTTAACCAAATCAAGCAAATACAAGCAAACATGGTAAATCAAACCGCAGAAAGCCCGGAAATAACCAAACACAAAAGAAAAGCGTCCCCAACCTCGCTTAACACATCTGATATGATCCTCTCATGCACGACTGCCCACCTTTTCCCTCAAGATGAGGCTGCATTCGCAAATCTAGAACCCTATGGACCAACCCTGTCTCCATCCCCACTATCATCCTCAGAATCGCATATACATCTTCTCCACAAAACAATCACCAGATGCGCGCATCTCCAGCACGGGACCGCGCTCAATCCGTACTCTCTAGCCATCAAAAGCAACTTCTTCAACTGCCACGTCGTCGTCGTCGACGTCGCTTGCCAGCAAGAAAGACATTCCTTCCTCCCTTCCCGTTGAAGAGGACCGAGACACCCGGTTTCGTGCTTCCATCATCATCACCGCCCTTTCAAGCCCAGCTCTCGTGATGCGAGACATCTCGTTTGCATCTCGACTCGCACTCCCTCATTCGTCCCCGTAAAGCAGCAAGCCTGCCAAACACATGACACAGCCACCCAATCGCGCTCCAACGCAGCCCTATATCAAAACCCGCTTATACCCTCCCTCACCACCAACGAACAAACGTGAACCCTCAAGCTGAAACAAACAACGCGCTCCTCTCCAAAGTCTTCTGTAAGTGAGTGACATAATTATACACGCCTCTCTCGCTTTCGGCCCGCATGTTCTGTGCCTCTGTCATGCATCCAACTTTCTTTTCCTTCCTCCCTTCCTTCCAAAGAGGAAGAAAAGTACTGCCGAGGTGGAGGGAGATAGTGCATGAACCAGGCAAGCCACAATATAATCAGATATAACGTTACAACACACACACCGCACTCGTCTGAGCTACTACAGTAATGTTCGAAATCGGCTTCAGTTCCGAACACTCTGTGTTCTTATTTCTGACCCATATTTTATGTAACACTAACCATTTATAGCTAGCTGTATTTCTAACCCTTGTCTTCGCTTATTTATTATTTTGTACGTGATCCTCCTCGAATGCTTCTCATTGCCGGTTATCGGCGCTATTATTGTATCACGTGAGAGTGTTGACAAGCATTATGTCACAGTCCTAGTTCTCGACTGTAACAGCACGGTTGGGCTCTAGTACGTACAGTAGACGAGGAATCTATTAGATTAAATTTATCTCTTAAAATATAAAGGCAAGGAAGTAGGCTAGTCTTATGCGCCATCACGTGCTATCAGCTTCATGTGCTGAATGCCCGGGGAAACCAAATCCCTGAATACTCCATATTCTAGGCAACAAGAACCAGAACTGTGACAAGTGGACTTATTTATCCCGAGACCACAGTAGAAAAGCGAATTTACAGCGCTAGCAAGCTTAGAAATCACGTAGACATTTTTGTTGTTGGGGTTGACTTTATCGATTTTATCTGAACTAAATAACTACTACTACAGTGGACAGGTACCCAGTATATATAGACTTGGAATACCTTCTAGCACCTTCTTTGCTTGCTCACTGGATTTGTAAGCTCTTAAGCTTTCGACCTCTTCTAGAGCTTTCTTTGCTACTCAGGTCATGTGACCTTAACCTTATGCCTCAAGTCTCAACAATTTTGCTATTTAAAGACTAGCTCCCCCAAGCCCCTCTTTATCAAAGTTATAAAAATATAAAGAATATGAATTACTTAACAATGCTAAAGTGCTTGCTATAAGAAGCCTAGTGTAGTGGCGTCTTCTCTATTATAGTAGCAGTGTAGTCAGCGTTGGTTAGTGTTGGCACCTTTCTCGAGTAGCAATGTCACGACGTGCGCTTCCGCATCAGCCCACAACAGCGACGTCCAGCCGTCACCGTCCTTGGTTTCGAGCTCTTATCTAGCTATGGAGGAGAAGGGCGAGGTTGTTCATGCTTGTGAGAGTCTGAGGGTGCTCCTTGCCGAGGACCTTCTCTGTGAGCTGCAGCGTCTCGCGGTAGAGCGGCTCGGCCGCGTCGTACTTGCCCT